AAAAACAGAAGGATTGGCATTACCTCCAAAGACCAAAAGCCACATACACTTTTATAATTGCTTCTATATGCTGTTTTATGATTTAATTATTCAACTAACCACTGGGTACAGTTGGTGCACATCTGTAATCCCAGTGACTTGGGAGGCTGAGGGAGAGGATCATGAGTTCAAAGCCAGTCTCAGCAACTTAGTGAGACCCTTTCTCAAAATAAAACATGGTTCAGTTGTTAAACACCCCTGGGTTCAATTCCTGGTACAAAAAAAAAAAAACCAAAATTCAGTAAACCAAATATTTATTGGTGTCCTTTTTTGGACAGACTTCTTAGAATCTCTGGTACATTCCAGAATTCTCTTTCACCTGTCATGTTACTCTTTGTTTAGATACAGGGCAGTTTTATCTGCTTCAGTTCTCAGACTGATGACTCTCAAATATGTATTGCTTCTCGGTTGGACAGTGAATCATTTATTCATCCCTTTATTGTTTATTCATTCAACAACAAATATTTATTTATTGTTGGCAGTGTTCCAGATTCTAGTAACTTGATAATAAGACTGTTACTCTGGAGCTTTCTAGTGTGAGACATATATAAATATAATTTATATATATGATGGTGTTAAGTAATACGAAAGTGAAAATGTGGTAAAGGCATAGAATGAGTTGGGAGCGTGGAAGGTACATGTGGTCACAGGTGGTGGCACTAGAGCACAGTTCAGAACTGAGAAACAAGCCTCAGGTAAGTCTGTTAGAAGAGTAGAGATCGAGTTTAGTGTGGGAAAATCAAGGAGGCTGTCATTAGGTAAGAATGTGCAAGCATAGAGGTGTGCATGATTAGTAAGGGATTTGAGGATTGGATCAAAATAGCACCTCACTAGGCCTTAGCAATTTCTATGGTTTGGATATGGCTTGAGTGGTTCCCCCAAGATTGTATGTTGAAATTTAATCCCTATTATGAGGTATTAAAAGTGCAGAAACTCAATCTGACTATGGTTTTTAGAGGTGAGGTCTTTGGTGGGCTAGGGATGTGGCTCAGTAATAGATCACTTGCCTAGGGATGTGTGAGGCCTTGGGTTCAATTCCCAGTTGTGTGTTGGGGGTGGATGCGTTTTAGAGGTGGGGCATATGGGAGGTGATTAGGATTATATAAAGTCATTAGGATGGAGCTTTCCCCTAATAATTGAATCCTAGTGGTTTATTTTTTTCTTGTGGTACTGGGGATTGAGCCCAGAGCCACACATATGCTGCGTAAATTTTAGTGTCTAGTGGGAGGGAGTTCAGAAGAGAGCAAGGGATAGAGATGGAGATCCCCTGCCACCTTCTCTCCTTCTCTCCCCCTTTCTCTTGCCTTGTGATGATCTGTGTTGTCTTAGGACTCTGCCAACAAGAAAGCCATTTGTCAGATGTGGCCCCTTGACTTTGCACCTTCAGAACCAAGAATCTAAAGAAACTTTTCTTGATTAAAACTCTGCAGTCAAGCCAGGTACAGTGACTTGTGCCTGTAATCCCAGCAGCTCAGGAGGCTGAGGCAGGAGAATCACAAGTTCAAAAGCTCAGCCTTAGGAATTTAGCAAATCCCTAAGCAACTCAGCAAGACTCTGTCTCTAAATAAAATATTAAAAAGGGCTGGGGATGTGGCTCAGTGGTTAAGCACCCCTGGGTTCAATTCCTGGTGCAAAAAGAAAAAAACAAAAACCAAAAAACCATCCCAATCTATGGTGTTATGTTATTGGCAACAGAAAATGGATAGTAGGGCAAAGAATGATAAATTTATTTTATTTTTTCATTTTTTTTTTTGAGGTACTCGGAATTGAACCCAGGGAAGCTCTACCACTTATCTATACCTTCAACCCTTTTTGAAATATTATTTTGAGACTGAATTTTATTAAGTTTCTTGACTGGGTTTCAACTTCCAGTTCTCCTTCCTCAGCCTCTGGAGTAGCTGGGATTATAGGCGTACACCAGTGGACCCAGCTTGCAGTTGTATTTTTAAGTCCTTCTTCTATCCTTCTTCCTTTGGTTGAATCATAAGCCCTCAAAATATAGGGTTTTTTTCCTTTTTTGTTGTTCTTTTTAGATATACAGACAATACAGTGTATTTTGATATGTGCATATACATACATAGAGTGTATAGCTTATTCTAATTAAGATTAATTCTTGTGGTAGTACAAAATGTGGAGTTACACTGGTCATGTATTCACATATGAATATAGTAAAGTGATGTCTGATTCATTCATTCTTATTCTCATCCTCGGTCCCTTCCCTTCTGCTAATCCAGTGAACTTGTATTACTCCCCCTTATTGTGTGTTAGCATCCACATATCAGAGAAAATATTTGCCCTTTGGTTTTCTGGGGTTGGCTTATTTCACTTGGCATAGTCTCTAGTTCCATCCATTTACTGTCAAATGCCATAATTTCATTCATCTTTATGGCTGAGTAATATTCCATTGTGTATATGTACCACATTTTCTTTATTCATTCATTTGTTGAAGGGCACCTAGGTTGGTTTCATAGCTTAGCTGTTGTGAATTAAGCTGCTGTAAACATTGATGTGACTTTGTCACTGTAATATGCTGATTTTAAGTCCTTCAGGTATATTTTGAGGAGTGGGAGAACCAGGTCAAATGGTGGTTTCATTCGGTTTTTCTGAGGAATCTTCATGCTGCTTTCCAGAGAGGTCACAGCAATTTGCAGTTTCACCAGCAAAGTATGAGTGTACCTTTTTCTCCTTTCCAGCCTTTATTGTTACTTATATTCTTGGTAATTGCCGTTCTGACTAGAGGGAGATAGAATGAATATCAGTGTGTTTTTAATTTGCATTTCTATAATTGCTAGAGATATTAAACAATTTTTTATATAATATAGGTTTTTGAAACTGAGGTTTGTTCATGGAATGTTCCTTCCATCAGTGAATGGTACCACTAATGACATATTTGAATAATGCAGGCACGTACACACATTGTCTTTGATGTTCCATCCTTCCTTATCTATAGTCAGTTGCTTTTTTGCCAATTCTGCCTTAATGAATAGATCAGTTTATCATTTTTGATGTCAGTATAGTTTAGGTCTCCATTATACTTGGTATTATCATAGGAGTCTCTTAATTTGTCTTGTCTTAAAATTTTTAATATCTACACAGTATTTTATAAAGCCATATGTGATCTGACCATAGCCTTGCTGCCTTTTTCCACATTTCAGAGTTTAAAAAATTTTCATTTTAGCATGTTTATTAGTTGCAGTCAGCTGGAGGCATAGCAGAAAATGATTCTGTTACATCCCATCTAGACAAGTACATCAAACTCACCTTAGACTTTTCAAAAGACTTAATGCTCGATCTCTTCCTCAGGTCAGTTTAATCAGAATAGGAGAGGGGCCAGGAGGTAGGTTTCATCAATATAAAAAATATTTTCAGGTAATTGAATGGGCAGCAACATTGAGAAGCCCTATTTTTGAAACCCATACTTCCTGCCATTGATGAGTTTGGTAAATAATCATTTTACCAGTTCTTGCCAATAAGACATGAAGGGAAGCTCTTTGTAAAATAAGTTTACAAGGAAATGCTTTCTTTTGAACATTGTCCTATGTGCGTATAAATTTTGGAATTGCTGTGATAATCTTGCTCACGGCACCCCAAAATAGCCAACCCTGGAATGCAGATAAGAGACATGGAAAGAAACCTGGTCCTTGATTGTCTTTTTTTTTTTTAATATTTAATTTTTAAAAGTAGTTAGACCAATACCTTTATTTTATTTATTTATTTTTTAATGTGGTGCTGAGGATCGAACCCAGGGCCTTGCACATGCCAGAAGAGCTGAGCCACAACTCCAGCCCCTTTGATTATGTCTTTTATTTACTGACTTAGTTAGCTCTGGAATCTATTGTACCTCTATTAAAATGTTCTTAATATTTCAGCTCTGAGATTGGATTCTGATTTACAGCTAGAAGCTTCCAAACTACTATATCTCATGAATGGATAAAGTAGTGGTAAAATATACCACTATTTACTGCTGTGTTTTCTATTATTTCTCTTGTATAAATAACACTGCAGTGAACATACTAGTGTGTATAGTTCTTTCCCCCAGTTTTGGGCTTCATGTCATTACTCAGATTCAACATCCCAGAAGTAGTTAACATTGTTTTTGCTTTTGTTTAATATTTCAAATTCCTTTCCCAACAGGTTATATCTATCTACAATGTTAGCAGTAGTTAGTATTTTTAAATCTTGCTCACCAGGGTTTTTTTTTCCACTGTTGTTTACACATGTTCTGTCGTTGTAATGTCCCACTTTTATTTCTTTTATTACTAAACATGTTAATCATTTCTCTGTTTTTATTCATTAGTTTCATTTCTTTTTCTTTAGGCAGTTGTACAATCATGTCTTTGTGCAATAATTTAGTAACTATGGAACTTGGGGAAGTTATAGTTACTATTACTAAAACAAGGGAATAATAAATAATTTATTTATTACTGTAGGGTTAGTGTGAGGTTAAAATGAGAGATTTTCCTGAAGTTCTCTGAGCATCATAATGAAATAATAGTCCTTTATCACATTTGCTGTATTTTTAACATCTTTTGTTTCCCTTTTCATGGCATTATTTTACACAAAATTATATTTTCAATTATAATTAGTCAAGCCAGTTACTTTTCAGTCATAATTTAGATACAAGAAAAGACATGAGAAAAATGACATGGAGTTATACGTAACTAACATATGTTAATCATACTATGTACCTACATGTTAATTATATACACATATAATTAATGTGGTACTGATAAAAATACCATGATGATAACCTGAAAGCAAGAGACATTTTCAAAGGTTTCTTTATATCTTCATATTTATTATATACTCTTGAACCAGTTTGTTTTTAAAAACTATTAAATGTGAAGGCTTTTCTCTGAACCAAGTCATTGGTATAGAGACATTTGCCATTTTAATAGAAGAGGACAAAAAGTCAAGCAGGTTATAAAGCAAAATTGGTTTCATGTTATTTTTCTTTTCAGAAAAATGAGCTGGGACAAGTTTTGTTGGATATAGTCTTCAAGCATCTTGATTTGACTGAACGAGACTATTTTGGTTTACAGTTGGCTGATGATTCCACAGATAACCCAGTAAGTTTCATTTTCATTTTAGTTTTTTCTCTCTGTTTAAAATATAAAGTCCTTTTTGTTTTAAATGTTCACTGATTTAATGAATTTTTAAATTTTTATTTGAACAGTTGGAGGTAATTCTTTTGTCTTCATTCCCCTTTACTTGATGTTTTTGTAAGTCAGCCTATAAGTCTAGTGCCAGTTTCATTAATTGTGTATCTCAGAAAACTGGAAAAAAAAAAAGTATAATTCATCCTCTTGACTTGAAGAGATGACTGGGCATAAAAATTAAAATATCTGGAGACTTATTAATTTGCACTAAAATGAAATTGGATTTTTATGGTATTCATGGAGAATTATTTCTAACAAAAAATCCTTATTTTTTTGTTCAGGATAAATTTTCCAAATAAGAATATTCAAAAGAGACCTCCCAAATGAGATAGAGAATAAATTCAATAGGTACTCAAACTTATTATTCAGTATTTGTAATCATGGTTTTTTTGATTAGAAACATCAGATCATGGAAATAGAAGATAACATATGATTAAATAGTACAGCTGTTGACTTTTTAAATTGAACATTATGAAATACACTAAGGAAATATATCTTTTTATGAACCTAGATGAAGGGCTTACTGCAAATTTTGGTTGAATTCTTATATGTTTACATGGTTATACCATGAGAGACTTTTACAGAAATTATGATAGCCTTTTGATTAGTGTAGGAAGAGTTCATTTTTAAGGAAATATTGTGGACAGCTTAGAAAAATGAAGAAGCAGAATAGTTTCTAAATCAGTGTTTCAGAAATCCATTATAAGACTATACTGATAGAATGTCTACAGAAAATATAAATATTGTTATGAAAAAGTAGGGGGTTTTGTTTGTTTAGTTTTTTGTTTCTTTTTTGTTTTGTTTGTATGCTACTAGAGATTGAACCCAGGAACACTTTACCACTGGTCTATATCCCCAGTTGTTTATATTTATATTTTTATTTATTTATTATTTTGGGGGGCGGTGGGTACCGGGGATTGAATTCAGAGGCACTCAATCACTGAGCCACATCCCCAGCCGTGTTTTGTATTTTATTTAGAGACAGGTTCTCACTGAGTTGTTTAGCGCCTCGGTTTTGCTGAGGCTGGCTTTGAACTCATGATCCTCCTATCTCAACCTCTAGGATTACAGGTGTGTGCCATTGCACCCAGCCTATATTTTTATTTTTTTGAGACAGGGTCTTGCTAAGTTGCCTCGACCGTATAATCCTACTGCCTTCGCCTCTTGAGTTGCTGGGATAACAGGTGTGTGCCGTCACATCTGGCTTGTTTAGTGCCCCCCCCCCCTCATCTTGGGTCTTAGTTCTCTGAATGAATTGTTAGTGGGAAATAAATATTTGATGTTAAATGTTACTATTTTATTTTTTGGTTTCATGTATTGATTTTTATATCACAATCAACCAGAAGAAAATAGAGGATGAAGTGATAAAAATAAACCAAGGGCCAGATAATCTCAGTGAAAATAAACACTTTTAAACTTAATTAAAATTAAAACAATGTTTCCTCATATTTTGTCTTCAGATGACTTGACTTTCTCCAAGGGCCTTGAGTTATACTGTTATTTCTTGGTAAATAAACCCATATAAACATGAATATTAGGTGAAATGTCAGTAATGCAGCTCTCCCAGAAAGGTAAATTGTTAGCTAAGAAAATACCCAAAAGATACATGTGACACTGCATTGAGAGAAAAGAAAGTCAGTTGACTCCTAGATTATCTTGCTGTGCTCATAAGACACTCTAGCCAGTCTTGGCTTTAGATTGATTGGAGAAGGACAAGACAGATTTTTATGCCAGATTTTTTTTTTTTTTTGCCAAAAGTGGGGTGTGACTATTTTGTGATGCTTTTTAAAAAAATGTGCTGATATTACTTTAAAATCATTTATTACTAATGGTGCAAGACTAGGATACATGGAATACTCATGAATATACATTAATACAGTGACCACCAATATTCCTATGGTTCCTGAGAAAGTGTTCCAAAAGGACTAATACTGAGCTCACATGTACTACAAGAGATAAAACGTACATCACATAATTTTGGATACAAGAAGATATTCTGTTCTAATTATGCCAGGATGAATTTAGGGAAATAAGAATTTTATGCTAGGTTGATCTTTTTGCTTTCTTCTACTGTTTCTAACTTTGTCTTTTCTGTTTGGAGTGTTCCTTTTTAAATGGCAATATATTCCTTGGTTCCAGGGTTTTTAACTTGCTTATCATCTAAAATAATTGTTTCAGGAAAGTTAGAATCATAAAATTTTAGGGATCTAAAAGAGGCTTTAGATATGATCTAGTCTAATACTGTGATTTTACATGAGACATTTTTTCAGTTCAAAAAGATAAACCTGAATTACTCCCTGGCAGAACCTTGGTATTTCTAATTCTCTTTGCCATTCTTTTTCTCTGGACTGTAATTTTAATATTTAAATAGAAAAATTGTGAGATGCCAAAATATGTCCAAAAGGGATCTTTTTTAAAAAAATGTTTATTTTTTAGTTGTAGTTGGGAACAATATCTTATTTATTTATTTTTATGTGGTGCTGAGGATCGAACCAGGACCTTGCACATGATAGGCGAGCGCTCTATTGCTGAGCAACAACCCCAGCCCCCAAGAAAGGAACTTTAAAGATTTTATAGTTAATATCCCATTTCTACTTGCCAGCCTGAACTTATATTAAGGTTTTGAGGGTAATGAATACACTGAAGGAAAGGGGCATCATTCTTCAAAAGAGAAAGGAATAAGGTAGTGTCATTTATGAAATATCAATTGTAGGTTTATTAACTAAGTGTTTTGCATATATCTCATTTAATGCTATTTTTGTTTCCACATTTTTTATTTGAGCATTATAGTTGTATATAACAGTGGGATTTGTTGTTATATATTGGTGATAAACACATAGATAACAATATGATGTGGCCAGAATTATTCCCCAGCACTTCTCCCGTCCCTTCTATCTTTCTACCCCCTGGTCCCTTTCTATCCCCTCATGTAGTAATAGACAGACAATCAGTAGAGTAGAGGCAGAGGATCACAGGAAGGTAGGGAGGAAGGTAAAGGGAAGATCCTAGGGAATGAGATTGATCAAATTATGTGCATGTACTAATATGGCATAATGAATCCCACTATTATTTTTAGTTATAATACACAAATAAAAAATTTAGAAAAGAATTTGCCTTTAGAGCAAGTTCCCATGTGATAATTGATGTTGCAAGTTCAAGAACCACATTTTGAAAATCCTGCTCTAACTCAGTAAAATATTAAGTCAGCTGAAGTATGGCTTAATTTATGTGGAACAGTTTGATTGATCTTCCTCCCTCCTCCTCCTTCTAATCCTCCTCCTTTTTTTTTTTTTCTGGTACTGGGCATTGAAGCCAGGATGCTTTACCACTGAGCTACAATACCAGTCCTTTTTATTTTTTATTTTGAGACAGACTCTCACTAAGTTACTGAGGTTATCACTAAATTACTGGGCCTGGGGTTGTAGCTCAGTAGTAGATCACTTGCCTTGCATGCGTGAGGCATTGGGTTCGAGTCTCAGCACCACATAAAAATAAATAAATAAAGATGTTGTCCATCTATAACTAAAATATATATATATATTTAAATTGCTGAAGATGGCCTGAAACTTGGAATCCTCTTGCTTTAGTCTCCTCATTTTGCTGGGATATAGGTGTGAGCCACTGTGCCCAGCTAAAGTTTTTTCTTGTTTTAACATATAACTCAAAGTTGCTGAATTATTTATTTTGTCAGGCTTGAATAAATACAGAAAAAGTCACATATGGTTCAGTATTACAGTTCCTATAGTACTTGCTTTTATTTCACATGTCAGTATTTCTGTCTTATATTTCTTTCATGTGTTTTGTTGTAATAACTTAAATTTAGGCTCTTATTACCTGCTTATAAACGTCTTTGCTAACCTCTTTTTAAATTTTAGCCCTGTTATACTTTCTTGAGGAATGACAGAGGTACCTGAGATACAGAGGAATGTTTCAGAAAGAAGCAGCAGCATATGCAAAGATTCAAAGTAAAGACACAAGAATGCTGTATTTGAGGAATTGAAAAAATGTTTTGAGCTGGGGATGTGGCTCAGTGATTAAGTACCCTTGATAACTATTATATCCCTGGTATCAAAAAAAAAAAGTTTTAATTTGGCTGGCATATAAGGTCAGGAAGAGACAGGTAGAAAAGGACTATGCTTACTTAAGGATTTATTTATATACCAAATGTAAGACATAATTCAGCTCTATCACTTTATGTTTACAGTGTAGACAATGACTAATAGTTATAGTTTAGAGATAATTGGAAGATTATTTTATTAATGATGTTACTAGGAAAAGTAATGATTGACTGTAGGGGGTGAAGAAAAAATGAGTGCAAGAAATAATTTGATGAAATAGGAGTAGATATAGTCAAGGTAGAGTGAATCCATAGGGAAAGGAATTAAACTCATTAATTCTGCATTTTGTAAATTCATGGAATTTTCCATATAGATTATCATGTATGTATGTGGTTAATTAAATTGACTTTCAGATTTTAAATATATACAATTGACTGTGGACAAATAGATACAATTGACTGTGTGTTAAACTTGAATCTAAATACACATAAGTTCAAGTATTTTTCTTCTTTAATTCCTTGGGGTTTTCTGTGTAAATTATCATATCCTCTCTGACTAGGGACGGTTTTACTTCTTCTCTAGTCTTTATTTTTCTCATTTTTAAATTCATTATCGCATTGGCTAAGACCACCCTTACAGTGATGAACAGCAGTGATGGGAGAGATTAATTTATCTTCTTTATCTTAAGAAAAAAGTATTCAGTGATTCACCATCAGGTATGCTGTCAGTGTAGAGGTTTTTTTCCCCCCTGAATTAATGTAATTGAAAAGTAGAACCACAATGAAATGTCAATACACATTCACTAGAATAGTTAAAATTAAAAATTCTTTCAATACCAAGTGTTGGAAAGTA